AGAGAGAGAGAGAGAGAGAGAGAGAGAGAGAGAGAGAGAGAGAGAGAGAAAATAATGAATTTATGTAAAAATTATATACCTTCATATGCAAACAACTATATATTTCCAATAAAACGCAAGTGATATAATTAAAGAATATCGTGTTTAATATCGTTTTGTTACTGAGTCGTGTATTTTGTGTAAGCGTGAATATCAAAAACAAAAAAGTAATATTTTTCAAGTCTGCTTTGCTCTTATCACGAAATTTTATTTCATTAAATATTCAAGTGCTGCGGATCTGACGTAATATAATCATTAACTAGCTATCGACTCTTTGGAAAAGTTTTCGAGAAGTCTTTCATTAGCTAAGAACGCCAACGAATATTTTGAAATTATACATGGATATAAATAAAGGTTCTGTTCAAGTTTCAATAATTCAAGACAAGGGTATACCTTTTATATAGGCTTCAAGAAGCTACTTAAATTTATTACTGGTCTTTGATTATTTGGAGTTCTGAAATGTATTGGTCATTGCTGTTAATTCCTGCAAGTCACAACAACTTATATAGAAACGTAATCCTTTAAGTTAAAAATGGTAATTGGGTTGTTTTTAAACGCGGAGAAAAATTGGAGATTTTCTGTTGTCAGGGCAAAATAAGCAAAGACTCTATTTTATGCGTAAGGGGATGTGCAAAGTTCAAATTTCGTTTTATGTTATTTTCAGGTGGAGGTCCGCGCATATAAAGTTTCTCAAAACAGGCCTTCTTGTTATTGTTGGCATTTTAAGGCAGCAAGTAAATTTATCCATATTTCCGTAAGAAAATTCCCCCAGACGATGTGTGGTGCTATTTTTGCATTTGTACATTTGTCAAGTGGTTCGACTACCATAAATGAAAGGAAAGCTGATATTTGTCTTAAGTGCTAAGGAAGTGGTAGAAAATTAATAACATTTCGAACATAAGCGAAAAGAAAGTATATCTTCCTTTATTCACTTCCGAAAATGAGAAAGAAAAAAAGGAAGAGTGGTCCCATGTGAAGAGAATCTTACTAGAGGGCATAACAGACCTGAATTTCATTTTAAATTTTATCGTAATTCTTTTTATTGCATTGTGCTACAAATGTATTGCTAACGATATCATTTTCGATTAGCTCGGTCATTTTCGTATATTTTGTCAAAAACTTTCAGTAAATGTTCTCGCTAACTAGGGAGAGTTGTAACAGTTTGGAACCGTTTTCAAGGATTTGCATTAGCATTGAGACAAAATTGGGACTCCTTTATTTTCAGTTATCAATATCTTCTTTTCTTTAGTATACCCTAACCAAAAAGTACTATTTTATTAAATAAAACACCACTTAATGCGATTTTAACAGATGTCTATAACCGACAAGTATTTCATTTTCAGCAGCTGTTTGTTATTTCGCTCGATCATAGAATCCTTCCTCTTCATCTTTTGTAATCGAGAAAACTTAAGTAGAAAAGTTATTTGAACTTTTCTGCTTCAAACAAAACGCGGTTACACTGAGAAAGCAATGAAAAGGTGTCTCAGACTGTACTTTTAACAAAAATTTATTGGTGATAAACAGTCAGAAAGGGCTCCCAAATTAGCTCAGAGTTTGTGTCGCTTTCTGCGTTTCTGATTCATTGTGGCTCGTCTAGTGGGCTGAACAAATACTTATGATACTAAGGCTGTCCCCAAAAAGAGGCAACAAACACAACTTCGGACACAAAAAAATTTTTAATGCATAATTAATCCAACAACTACATTGCAAGAGCATTATAAATAAGACGAAGGTGTACAAGTAGAATTGAATGAATTTTGGCGGTAATACTTCGAATGATGCTTTGAAAATGTAAGCCTGACACAAGAAGAAATAACAAAAATCGATTGCAGTGAAGTCTCTTATAATACGAACGATACTTACTGTCTTACATGAAGCTCAGGATTAATTTAACAGATATATGCTTCAAGAATTCTTTTGAATACGTATACGTCGAACTCTTTTTTACACGATTTTGAAATAAAACGGCTGATCACTGATAGCAAATACACTTTTTTACGAAAATTTTTTGCTTTACCACGAATCTAAGAAAACATTTTTTAACTGTCATAGAAAAAAGAATATAATTTTGATTTAAACCGCTGCAATCATTCCATAGCGATGAACTTTTGACAATTATTCTATGATCGAATTGTAAAAACAGCTGGTTTTACCTTTTGCCGCACTTAACGCATTTGAATATGTTAAAATTACGTATATTATTTTACCGTGTCTCTTAAACAGTGTCCCTTTAGGAGTGTACGGTGAATGAAAGTGTTGTGAGAATGAAATTGTTAATGACTTATCGTTGTATGAGGAGATTTGAGAAATGATGAAGGATTCGTTTTTAAAGGGATGGGTTTTGTAAGTGGACTACCGTGCTCCCTATTTTGAAACTGAAATATGTTTTTCTTTGATTTTTCTTTTTGTTTTGTTTGGGTATATAAGCTTTTGCATGATATATGTTCTTCTTAGAATTTTTAATTTTTGTTTGGGTTTACAAGCTTTTGAATGATAATTTAAGGAAATAATTTAATATTAAGGTTAACACAATGACACTTATTTAGCAAATTGTGTTTATCTATTTATTTATTTATTTCTTTTTTGCTTTAATTTCATCAAGAAAACACAGTCATTTCTAGATAACATGAACACATCTACACAGCTTATTGGGTTTTGAAATTGTTTAAAACCATTTCATCTATAAACTACTTGGTGGAACTTTTGAAGAATATGTGGTAGATTTTAATTAAAAGGAAAACAAAAAAAAGAAGAGTCAACCAACTAGAGAAAGGGGGTGGGAGATTAATAGATTAAATTAGAGTAAATGAAATATAGTTATTTAAGAACACAAATAAATACTACACTAAAGCAAATCAAATAAAACGAAAGCAATTAAAAAAACAAGGTTTTTTTAACCATTAGAAACATAAATTCCATTTTTAGTTGCACTTTTCTGTTTGCACTCATTTTTTTACTTATCCGTTTATCTATTTTTTTTTTTTTAAGTTTAATTGTTTATAAATTTTTGGCTTAGACAAACTTTTCGGAAAATGTGATGGTGTATGAATTTAAATAAGAAAATAAGGAGAGGACATCTGTTGAAGCTAATCTTTTAATATTTAAATTCGCAAAATTTTTGCAGTGAGATAGTGAGTTATATTATTTATTTTCACAGAAGATATTGCATAATATTATTGAAATTGAGTCCTGAGTACTCGATCTGATCATAAAATTATTTTTTTCCCTTTTTTAAATATCATAATAATAAGGTAACTCTAGTTTTATTATTCATCCACACCGTTGATAGTAGATGTAGTTAAGAGTAATAATAATATTGGGCTAGACGATTAGAGAGAGTAGTAGTTGTAGCATAAGCAGTAACGTCGGTATTATTCGTATTCGTTGCAGTAAGTAAAAGTGGTAAATTAAAGTAGTAACAATAGTAGCAGTACTAATAGCAGATATGGTTTTAGTAGTAGCGGTAGTATTAGTTATATTAGCAATAGCTATAGCATTAGCATTAGTATAAGCAGTATTAGGATTAGTACAGTACGTAGTCGTAACACTAGCATAGGTGAAGATAATACTAATCACATTAGCAGCAGAAATAGTAGAAATAATATTATTTATGGTGTTTATAGTGCCAGTAATACTAGTAAGAGTAACATTATAGCAAAAAAAAAGAAGAGGGCAGATGTTGGACTAAAAGAAGTAATGATTCATGAAAATATTTAAAGGTAGCAGAAGCATTAGTGAAAATAGTAGTAGGAGTAGCAGCAGAAGAAGTCATTTAAGTAATAGCAGATTTGTAATCGCATTTGTATTTGGAAAACGATTTTCAGTCAGTCTGGGATTTAGAAGCTATTTAGACAGCTTAGGGTCAAAATTAGAAAATTGAAACTTGAGATAGATCAAGTTTATGTGGCCACTAACTCCGCTAGTAAATGCGCTCTTATAAGAATAAAAGTCAAAATAATTTTCTACGACCTTGAATTTATTTTATTATCGCCATAAATGCCATGAAACAGTTAAAAATGTCCGAAATACTCGGTCAGTTAATACCGAGATTACCCGTAATCTGTTTACTCGACAAATATCGATGGAAGCCATATGAAGATTTGATTTGAGCGACATCAGTAATGACTGGCTGAGTGAAAGAAACGGATAAAAATTCTCTACACGCATTTATAGTTTGAAATAGACCTCAGGGTGGCATTTTACGAATGTAATTGCCAATTTCTCTTTAACGAAACCTTTTTGTGGTGCTCTCTGTAAGCGACATCCCTCACCCCTTAGGGAGTATGCGATGTACTGAAAAGGAAAAAACGCTCGACAGACTCAAGAAAAAGGAATTATCTTGTGAGAACAGACTGAGCAAAGGCTTGCAAGTGAAAGTTTGGATTAGAAGAAGGTCTGTAAACGTTTTTTCCTTAGGTTTTTAAGCCTTCCGACGACACGACACTACATCTTCAATGTTGGTCAGCTAACTGAGCTTTGAGATATTTTTCGAAGTAAATGTTGTTTAGTTTTCACTATGCATTTATGCATAGACGTAAAGTAAATCTAATATTAGTTGAAATCTAGCTGACGTATAATTTTAAAGATACTTTCGAGAAACTTATTGTACTTTTGCCGTATCTTACTTATATAAATAATATAACTCACTTAATTTTCTTTGTAACACTTTTTAAGTCTTTTTTAAAATTTTTTTTTTCACAGAAAGAAAAAATTTTGAATGAAAAAAATTTAATTTTTACTGAAATTCATAGTATTGGTAGGTACTTTAAGTGTGAAAAAGATCAGACAATCGTAATAGCCATAAAAAAAATAGCATAGAAAAGAAGAAAAAAAGAAAAAGAGAAGAAGAGATAAAGAAAATGAAAAGAAAATTGTTTGAAAAAAAATATAGTTTTTAATTAATTTTGCTGGAATCAAAGAGAATGAATCAATTGATGAATTTGAAATTGGTCGGGACAACAAAAATTAGGAATGTAAACTGGATTTTGTCTACGTTTGACAAAAGAAAAAAAGTTTTCTTAAAGTAAAGTGTTTTATTTTTTGTGTGTAATTCTCAAGCTGTTTTTTTTTTTTTTTTTGTCAATATGGAATGGGAAGTTGTTTAAAGGAATGGTTATTTATCTATCTCCTTTTATTGACAATAGGGGGTAGCGGGAGAAAAATCATTATTGATTTAAAGTATTTTTATTTATTTTTTGGAGGGGATCATGTATATGTTTTTAAGAGTTAATGCTGGATGCTAGTATATGTTTGTTGGGTTTCTTAATAATTAATTCTTGTCAGCTTATCTTCTTTCATTTTCAGAGTTAGTGGTATTGTGTGCGTGTGTGTGTGTTTGTGCGTAAGTGTGTTATGCATGTGAATTTCGTTGTAATTTTTATCTTCATTATAGGGATTTCTGTTGTTATTGTTAATGTCACTCTTGTTACTGTTATATTGCAAGTACATTTTACCTGGAGCCAAGGTTGGTTCGCCAATGTTAACATAAAAAACGACATCTTTTTCATAACTGCCTTCTTCAATAATGCCAACAGCAATATTCTTTCTATAAAAAAAATGAAATAAAAATAAAATGTTAACTTTAAAATAAATATTTATATCATATTTCAGTTTCAAAATAGCCCCTAATTTCGTTGCACGGGAAAGATTTTTGTTTTCGAAAAGATAACACGTTTTATTAAGTAAGTGACGAACTATAACAAATTTATGTGGCCATAATTGAGCTCCAAGGGAAGCCATTAGCAAAGATCAGACCCCTTCGCTGGGAATGAGATTAGGGTGAAAGCCGCATTTAAGTTAAGACTTGTCAGTCTTTCATGATTCCCAGTCTAACTGCAAAGCGCACTTTAAACGGATTGAACGAAGGGCCAACCAATTTGTCCATCATTTATTGACGAAAGGAAAAAATTTTGCGATCACCAGGTATTTGATAAAAAATTATCATAACTTGCAAAAAAGCGTTGATTGTTGTTTTTTTAAAAAGAATTTATTCAAATTTTAGGGTGCCATTGTTACATAAAGCCATGCAGACCAATGGAGAGGAGGAGGAAGATATTGCCGTTCAAGAGATAACGTTACATTGGAAGTTTCTTGTGTCATTTATTTAGATGTTTTTCAATGATACCCTTAAGTGATATTCAAAGGATTTTATGAAGGAAAAAGCGAAGCGAACTTTTTGGCTTTCTGAAAATGTTGTCCCGTAAAGTGAAATCACGTGCTGTTGAGCGGCTAAACTGAGAACATTCCTGTTCGACTTATCGCAATGCAATATGCTTCAACTTATCGGCCTAACAAAATAGAGGTAAATGTATATACCTACGTTTGGTCGCCAAGGGTAAAATTTGTAAATAACAGATTGATAATTGCCCGGTACTGACTAAAGCCGCAGAGCACAGAAACCATAGGATACAGACATTGCATTTCAAAGGTAAATTGTAAATGCCATTTACATTCCCTTATTGCCTTGAGTAAATGGCAGTTGCAACAACCAAGTCAGTGTTCAGTTGGTAAAGCCGAGTAACGCTTACTAATTGGCCATTAGGTTAGATTTTACGGACAACGCGCGTGAGACGTTGCCTAACATTTCTTTTTCCATATTTTCCAAGAGATTACAGGTTACGGATAATCTAACCTTCGATTAACTTGAGACCTTTGAAAATAGTCTCGACGATTCCATTCTCTCTCCATTTAGGCGCTAATAAACTGCCTCAAGGAAAAGATGAACAATGCCTTTTACAAGGCGAAGCTTATAATTAATTCGTTGATTCTTTCAGTTTATAAGAGTAATTGTTCATAAAAAAATGTGGAACAATTCAATATTTTTCATGTATTATTTGAAAATAAAAAAATTCAATTGAAAATTTTTTTTTTGTATTTCCTATCAGTTGAGAAATATAATTTCTAATAACTTAAGTAGTTGTTGACATTTCTTTATGACAATTTAATGCAATTTTTGTAGTCATTTAAATAAAAATATATTGTATATATGCATGTATTATAGGACAGATATAAGTTATAGTAATCCATAACATTTTATTACTAATTAGAAATGAAATATTTGTGAAAGTCATGCAAGCTTAAAAATTTACAGATCGCCTTAAGTCTACCACCTAATACCTTACACTTAATAATTAACACCCAAATTCACTTGATTACGATTTTCAATTTGAATTGAATCAATCTTGAAGCATTTTAGATAGAAGGCAATGTTAAAAGCTCTGCTTTAGTGTAATCATATCCTTACATCTTTGGAACTTCTTAGTTGTCTGAAAGTTAATGACTCTAGCTGCTGACATTGCGAACAGTAAGTTGACGTTGAATATAACACCTTGAAATTTTTACTCACTGCCATTATGTATTCATTACCACAGGATGCAAGCATGCTTGAGGCACCTTTTCTGTTCTAATTAATCTATCAATGGTCGCATAAAGTTTAGGTTATTGATTGGGGCCTGTGTCCACCCATCGGCGCCGTCGGGGCCTATGCTACGTTTTTGAAACAAAATTTTCAATAAATCTTATAGATATCTATGACTAATTTTTAGGCGACCATTATTTCGTTTTTTTCTTTTTTTATTTAACTTTCTTTACACAAAAATTAATAACAGGTTTGCTTATTTAAAATTGTTCTAATCGATTGTGTTTTCAGCACCTTAGAAGTCCAGGCGCAGTTGAACTTTTTTCAGATTAATACTTGTTGCTGCATCGTAAGTACTCCCTCAATTTATTTTCCTGTGTTTATTTATTTAAATTTGAAAATAATTGATAGTAAAAGTCTATAAGATGGGGTGAGGGGAGCATTATATAACTGTTTTGAAGAAATAAGGCCGTATATAAAACTCCCTGGACGGACACTTCAAGAAAGCAATATATACCTAGTCTTGTTTGATGATGGGTTTCCCCGATTTGCATTGGTTGGCATGCTTGAACATAATTTTCATAACACCTTCATTAATGTCGTTTTAGCACCCTCGAGTTCCGACGGCGGTTGGGCAGGTACCCATCATACTGAAATTGTATTTCGACTTTATCGTAGTTTGTAATAGGTACACGACTGATCGACGGAGTGAGTTACACTCGTTCAAAATCGCTCGATCGCTATCAACTGATGTTTTCTTGTGATCATCCAGTAGGTACTTTTAAGAACCGCGCATTTGCCTAAAGGAAATCGTTTCAAACGGAGTCTCACAAAAACGAAATTTCACCTTTACCACACCAATAATTGAACAACACAACTAAGCGTTGCCGTATCCACTGACTCGCACTACTCACTCAAATATTGCACATAAACAAGAGAGTAGCAAATGTGTATGCAAAATTCTTTAATCCCCCATCTCTTCGATTAAAACCATAAATTTACTTATGTTTCTATCGTATGCTGAGTTAGTAGATAATACAATTAAATGACATCGCATAGATATACAAATCATAGAAACATATCTATTGATCTTAAATAAATACCATTAAGCACTTACACATATATACATATGAATATGTATAAATAATGTCAATTATTTGTGGTTACATTTGCATGCGAAAGTACAAATGAAATTTTTTTAAATTAGATCATGAAAGATTATCACATAAAATATTCATAAAAATTGATATTTCGCGGCATTGTTTTTCTTGTTGTTGGCTCTTTCTTTCTTTCTCTCTCTCGCTCTCTCTCTCTCTCTCGCTCTTTCCCTGTTAATCTTTCTTTATTAATGCTAATGTAATATTTACAAATTTGCACTATTTACGCCGCTGCTATGTATGAATGTCTGTCTGCATATGGGTAAAACAATTCACAACAAAATAGAAAATAAATAAATAAATAACTAAATAAATAAATTTAAAAAAAATAATTGTGTACTAAACAAACTGCTTATGATGAAAACTGACCGTCGTCGGTACGAGGGTATAAGTAAAATTCTACATAACAAGAAATATTTCATAAAATGAACTTTTTGGCTTTAAGCCAAAGTCATGGCAGACAATATGTAGAAGCAAGCAATAGAAAGCACAAATATGAAAATAGAAGATATATATATATATATATATATATATATATGTGAACACACATAGTCACACAAACATTCGCAGAAACGTAGCAATAGATTTGTATGCATTTATGAGTTGCGCATGTTGGCTTGACGAGTTTTTGTTGTCTGATGTCTGACGGCTACAATTCTGTTCGTTAGTGGTAGTGGCCAATAGTTTGTTGACAAACGTTTCGGGTATTGTGTCACATTGTTTACCAATAAAAAAATATAGGATCACTCTCTAAAAGCCAAATAACTAAATATTTCACTGACAACAATATGTCATATATTTGCAGTTGAAATTTTTAGTTTGGTTTATAAATACTCACGCACACACACCCGTATATACAAACGCACGCTAAAAACAATCTTTCATATAAGCATGTGCTGCTTTTTTCTTCACTTTTTTTTTTTTTTTTGTTGGATTTCTTTAGCTAATAAATCACAAAATATTGCACAACTTGCACACTTGCTTGCGGAGAACATTTCCTATGCTTATGTGTGTTGCGTATATGTATATATGTATATAGATATGTATATATATATATACAGTGTGTCTACAGCGTGTTTAACGTTTTTAGTTAAGTAAATTTGTGAAAATTTCATATCGAATTGTTTATTACTGTAATACCCGTTCTATAGTCTTTTGGTTGTCAAACAGTTTACGAATGAAATTTTTATTTGCTCTTGTGATAAGCGATTGGACTTTAAGTGCGCGATTCATTTTACTTCTACTGAAATAATAAAGGAGTTAAAACTTGTAGTCATTGAGTTTGGCCACAACTACTAACACTTTTTTTTACTACAATACGAGAGTGTTAGCAAACCAGTTGGAATCGGAACGATTATCAGTAGATGCCTCTGAATTGAGTATATAAATTATGGACTAATGATTAGTCCCTACACCGTTTATGGTAGGGTTATATATGTCACCTATGCAGATGTGGACGACCTTGGATAGACTCTCCTGTCGATCATGTGCAGTCGTCAATCCCTTGGGGTTTTTGCTGGCTTTTTTTTCATCCATATGTGGAGACAATTTCTCCCTCGATATTTTTGACTTTGAGCATTCTGAAGACAAATAGAGAGCTAAATAAGCTTGACTAATTGTTTAGGCTTGAAGTGAAAATTAATGTGAAAGTAAAGCAGCAAAGTTACAAATTTCTTTTTTACAAACTTATCTAAATCGACTCAGTAGTAACGTAGATACTAAGTTTTTCTTTCCGCGTTTTTAAATCAAATGGACACACCAGAAAACTTACATAAACCGTCCGAGAACTAACGTGTGCATTAAGTTTAAGCTCAATATTTGCAACTTGAAAAAACCGTTGCAGCTAGGCCGGCTTAAAGAATTGCTTATACTTAATGTTTGCTATCATAAGCATATCAGCAAACAGGCAGATAAACAGAACGTTTATAACGTGCAAGAAAGACAAAGTCGATTTAGAATTTTCTTTTGCACGTATCAGATACAACAAACACAACAAACGTAAAAGTGCAGTTCATTGAATTAACTTTAATTAACTCCGCAAATTAAAGCTTTCCGACAAGGTCAAGCAAAAAAATTGCAATATCAAAAGCTGACAATTATCTAAGGCTAATCTTATCTTTATGGTATTGAGAAACAAAAAAAAAAAGTTGAATCGGTATTCCCATAAACTATTTGCTATGAACGGTATTACGATATCGGTAGTGTTTTGCAGTTGAAATGGAAATTTTACGTAAATTTATTTTTCACTTATTCTTAATACATCTATTATTATGCACAATAGAATGTCTGGAGTATTTATGTTACCAGGAAGATGAAAATTGTTTTGACCGCCAAATGCATCCGGATTTGGTCAGAAAAGGAGAAGACCTTGAACGTTCCATTAATCCTTTGGAATATACAAACAATTATTGGTTGAATTTGTCGAGAGAGTTTATAAAGCAACAAATGAACCGACAACCGAATACAAATAAAGCAAAAAATATTATACTCTTTCTAGGCGATGGCATGGGTCTGACTACTATAGCCGCTGCTCGCAATTTATTAGGCGGTACGGAACAAAAATTGGCTTTCGAAACGTTTCCTTATAGCGGTTTGTCGAAAACATATTCTGTGGATAGAATAGTGTCGGATTCGGCTTGTACAGCTACGGCTTATTTGTGCGGTATTAAGGCCATAAAGGGTACCATTGGCGTTAACGGCCAAGTAAATATGGGCGATTGTGAGACAGGCATAGATCGTAATAATCACGTAGATTCTATAGCGAAATGGGCTATGGATGCGGGTAAAAGTGCCGGGGTGGTTACCACTACGCGTGTTACCCATGCTTCACCTGCTGGCGTTTACGCTCATATAGCAGATCGCGATTGGGAAAACGATAGTCAAGTCAAAGAGGCTTGCGGTGCTAAAAGCGCAAAGATCAAAGACATTGCCTATCAATTAACGCACGGGGAAGTGGGTGGAAAATTGAGTTTTATAATGGGAGGGGGTAAACAAAATTTTATTGATTCTTCGCTTTACGAGAACGGAAAACGTTCGGATCGTTTAGATTTGATCGAGTACTTTCAGCAGGAACATCCCGATAATGTTTATGTGGAAACACGCAGTGAGCTTATGCAAGTTAATCTGTCAAAAGCTAATCGTGTTTTGGGTCTTTATCAAGACAGTCATATGTTGTATCATTTGGAGACTAATGAAAATACAAATCAACCAACCTTAGAGGAAATGACAATCAAAGCTATTGAACATTTACAGCATAATGAAAACGGTTACTTTGTATTCATAGAAGGAGGTCTAATCGATTGGGCCCATCACGTTAATAAGCCGCGCTTAGCATTAGATGAAAGCATAGAATTTTCAAAGGCCATACAGGCTGCTCGTCAAATAACTAGCGAGGAGGATACTTTAATTGTGGTAACAGCCGATCATTCCCATGCTTTTAGTTATGGCGGCTATCCGGTAAGTTCTACTTTTAAATAACAAACACCCAACACGATATCTATTGCATTTAATACTATATTATTATCAGCAACGCAAAAGCGATGTTTTTGATCCTGCTCCTGCTGGTGGAAAAGATGGAAAACCTTATATGCCATTGAATTACGCTAATGGTCCTAGTTTTTCTAAATTTTTCGACAACGAAAATGGGCAAAGAGTAGATCCGTTGCTAAATATTGTCGGTGATACAAACGATGAATATCCATCAACTTGGCCTATGCAATGGGAGACACATGGAGGTGATGATGTTCCGGTATACGCTTCGGGTCCTTGGTCACATTTATTTACCGGCGTCTACGAACAAAACGCTTTACCTCATTTAATGGCTTATGCTGCCTGCCTGGGTAATGGCTTAACAATGTGTACGACGTAGAAATTTATTTAAAATATTTTCTTGTAATACCTCTTAAAATTAATTCAGTGTATTAAGCGATAAATCGTTGAAAAAAGAGGGAAAATACTTCTTTTCTTTTTTTTTGCTTTCGCAGCTTAATACAATTGTAATTAAAGCTAATTAAAACTTTATTAAAGAAATGAGAGGGAAACCTACTGTGTGTATATATTTGACCAGTTAAAAGTATTGAAGAAACACGTTCCTTTTAAATTTTTTTGAAAAGAAAAAACAAATTCTGAGAACTATGGAAAAAGTGTATCCTGTTTTCGGAAAGAATCTTGTGCATTTACCGCTTCAAGTAAATATGTGGACGTGCTCCTATAGTCTCAAATATTAAATAGTCTTGACATAACTTTATGTGAAATTGTATGTCGATATCTGCTATAGATAGATTTCCATCAAGCAATATTGACAGACCGACCCGGCTCTTTGCAGACCCCTTGCGCCATTAGGTTCATATTCAATTTCAATTTTTCTAATTTTTCCGCCTGCCAATGTTTAAATAAATCAAAATAGAAAGTCCAACGGGAACGACCGAAATATCCCGAATCTTACCTTGCATACAATATTACGCTTGTGGTGCATTATAGGTCTATCCTAATCAATCACTTGGATGTAGTGTCTACTATATGTTATAAGTAATAAGCAACAATATTTTAGAAAATACATGTCCAATTTTTTATCTTAGGAAGAATGGACTTTTTCGAATAGTATAAAATTTTGCAATAATCAAATACTAATAAAGTTCATGGGGTCGCTGTTCAAAATATTTGAGCCTTACAAACGAAATGACAAAATTAGTCTATCACTCTTTTCGGAGCTGCAAAGAACCAACTAAATAATCTAATAAAGAAAAATTATGGTGGAAAAAAAGGAAATGCGGCGTGGTTGTTCAAGGAAAACAGAAAACGTGCTTCATTTAAAATTCATCAACGTAATAGTTGTAGTTTGAATCCTCGGCACTTTTTCTTGCTAATAAAGCTTTTCTTTTTTTCGCTTTCAATTTTGTGGTTTTTTGTTTTTGATGTAAACAGAATGTGTGCTTCATATAATAAACATGGAGAAAATTTGCATTTTTTTTCACTTTAAAAAATTCACACATACACATACACATACACATACACGCTTATATAAATTGCACGCGATTAAAGCGCTGGGCGTTCATTTCATTCTTTTTATTTTAATTTTTAACGGAATAAGGTTGAGGTAAAATTACCACATATCTGCCTACCACAGAAAAAAATGAAAAGCGAATAACTATTTATTTGCTTTTACGTGCAGTGTATGGCAGACTTAATACTTTTAAAGAGCAAATGACCACCAGCACCAACTATCACGTAGACATAATTGAGGCTCATCAAACATAGCCCAGTTTAAGCTCTTTTCATATTTTCTTTTACAACCAAGAAGAGCAAAAACAAGTATTTCCTAGTGAATCATCAAACACCTTCATCTGAACACACAATCGTGCGCCAAGTTTTCTTTAAGTGGGTCAGTATATTATTAAGGCCAAGATTTCTTCTGCAGATATATTAGAAATTAATTTTGGTCGAAAGAAAGTTTATCGCTATTGCAATGTAATATTATGTGTGGATTTTTTATAGGGGTGCACGCAGACACCCAGGCACGCACATGAAGGTGTATTAGCTTCATAAACTTCAATGAGAAAACATAGATGTGGGTAGTAGAAAAGACGCAATTATATAAAAATAGATTTGGTTATTTTAAGGTTCTTAATCCGTCCCATACTGTTCGTTGGTTTTGCCAAAGCAGGAAACCTCTTTAAGCGAAAGACATGGTCGACTTTGGTCTACGTTTATAAGTCATTGGCGAACTTACAGGTGTCTCTGGAATGTACAAGCTGTAAAAGATTTATAGTAAGGTCGTTGTAATTTTTTGAGAGGATTTGAGAGAATTCTGCTTTACCAGAGGCAAATGATCTTTAAAAGGTCGCTGACGCAAGTTTCTGCGATTATAAGTATTTCTAAGGAGTTCATTTAGCATATAAGAGACGCATATGAAATGACTTATGTATCACTCAGCCCTCCGGTAAAAATTTCCAGCGGATCTAAAGCATGTCACAAGAGTCTATTTTTACTTTGCTGATGAGCACTACTGCTACTAGCACTACCGGGGATACCAGTTCTATGAAAGAAAGGTTGCAGGGTGAAGTTCGAAAAAGAATTTTCGCACAGTTTCGTGAAAAGGAAATTAATCTTTGCTCAGGCCATGGCCTTTGCCAATTAGTATCTGCAACACATCCAGTTAGTAATTATGGAAAAGTTAATCATTTACCTTTACGCGTTGGATGGGTTTGCTCGCTTAAGAGGCTGCGTATATAGGGTCCATCCGACCGAGACAGCTTTTGTTCACTTTAAGACGGATCAGCGCTAATGCCCTGATTTAGTCAGGATTAAAGGCGCTTCATTTAAAATTAGACTATCTTATGTCATTTACTAGGTTCGCCTTCGTAGAGACGGTTGCGTAGGGTGAGGTTCCATTCGATCTAAAGTTTTTACATCAATTTAGAATCCGGAAGTATTGTTATTCACTGATGTCCACCTAGATAACCCACATTTTTTGCGCTTCGCGTCTTCATTCCAAAAGTCTTTACTACATTACCATTTATTGCGAAATAAACAACGCACATGTAAAATAAATATTAAAATTAAATAATATTAGCAAACTTTCATACATAAAACAAACTAAGCCTCTAGTTATGAACACAAAACCAAAAAACCTAAGTTATTGCTACTAAATGTCGTGCAAAATCGCAGTAGAAATATTAAAAGAATGCGATGTCAAAATTGTGTTATAACCATTTTCAAAGACATTGTCCGACTACATATTTTTGATATGTCAAAAACCGACCCTCCATATTCACAAGACCCTAAAGGCAAAATGTTTCAATAATGTTGCGAGTGAATGTTGCTAATGAAATGTTCAATCCTTTATACATAATGTCTTTGTCCTTATTCAACTTGTATGTTTAAGATTACTCATTACGGGCAGATGTTTGCAAAAGTAGTGCGTTTGTTCATGGGCTTGCTTAAGAAATTGTATGAATTGCGTACAATTGTATTCAAAACAATCTATAGGCAAGTGGAATATGTGCTATCGCAGAAATGTTTGTGTGCGCTTGTTGATTAGCAGCCACTTGGCTACTTGCTTTCTCTCTCTCATTATTTGTATCGGTAAAAACTCAAGATTACGCCCTTTAACTCATTTTATTTAAAGACAAAATGGTACCTAAAGCAATTAATTACAATGAGTAAATCAATTAATTAACAAGTAGAGGAAGCACATAACGATTTTTAAACATGGGTTTGGAGATTACAATTACAAGATTTATTTCAATTTGTTTCATAAATTCATAAAAGATGAGGGATTGTAAAATTTAGAAATTATATTAATTTATTTACATAAAATTCATTTCGCTTGTAACACTCAATCGAATATAATCAAAAGTAAAAAAAACAATTAAAATGGTTTAATATTTAATTGCGCCGCAAACGAACAGATATCTTCGTCTTACATTGGAACGAATATCCTTACTAGTGAAACTCCGAAATTGTTACCAGAGTTTTTAGTTGGTTGATGATACTACATCAAATTTGGCACTTGCTCGATTTGGGCAACATTTCTTGCTAGTTTTTCAAAAATTGAAATTAAGTAAGTACTTTTTGCATTTTATTGATAGATAACCTTGTAAAACAAATATGGCTATTGATGCAAATTTGTTGAACCTTTTGTGTAGAACTATAATTCTAATTTTCGTTGGTATTCAAGCTGCTGGAAGAAGGTTAAAAAACGAAATCCATAAATTTTGATGACTTTTTTAAAGTTCTTATGCTGGAAGTTAATAACAGGGACATTAAATTAAGTAAAAATTCTCTACAAGTGAAGAAAAATAGCTTACTAAATTCGTTGTGTAGGAATTTAAAGAAAAAACTTAGTGTAAAAAACCATATAAGTTTAATAAAGTTTTATCGCAAAAATTTCCATAAAATATTAGAGAAGTTAAAGGAAAAACATTCTGATAAATGTTTTATTTCAATTGATGTTAAACATTCCGCCACTAAATTAAGAGTTTCTCCGCCAAAATCTTCTTCGATAAATGATATAGTTTTTGAAAAACCAATTCCATTCAACTCAATGAATTAAACATACATGTAGAATAAGGGCAAAAACGTTATGTATAAAAGATCGAACATTTCATTAACAACATTCATTCGCAACATTATTGCAACATTTTGCCTTTAGGGTTTTCTGAATGTGGAGACGGCCGGTTTTTGGCGAATTTCGAGGCGATCGGCCCGCACCACGGTAATAAAATTAGGTTTTTCCGATAGATTTTAACGTGCTTTAAGACATATCAAAAAGCTGCACTAGGAAAAATTCTTTAAGGTTTTTTATACACACTTTTTGTATTGTAAGTTTTCAGCAACAATATACATGCACTATATGGTAAATACTAGAAAAAAATATTTTTTTAATTTCTTAAATTTCTTTGTTTAGTTTTCCTAATCATTTTGTAGCGTTCAATTATCAATTACCTTAGCAGAGATGCGAACCGAAGTATGAAGATAGCTAACTGCAGTGGGCTAACTTCACATCGGTTATTATTCATTAATTTTAATAGAGAAATTGATTGATGAGGATTCAAAATTTTTTTGTGAAGAGATTTTTTAAAAATAAGTAATTATACGGGGAGTCGTCCGATCCTATTCGTTTTCAAATAAGATTATCTTTGAGCTAGAAAATTGTGGACAAGCGTCCTTCCAATAGATGGGCAGACGGACAGACCAATTTAAATCGATTAAAAAAATGATTCTGAATAGACCGGTTTATCAAAAGGTGTTTTTTTTTTAAACCCGTTCTAATATACTCTATAATACAAGTAGTGCAGGGTATAACTATTTTAGAAAAGGAATCTATTAAGTATTAGTGCACTTTCTGTCGATAACTTCATTGTTAACGGAAAATCGAATAGTAAACCATCTAAAGCTACGCCTTAACGAAATTTTTAAAAGAAATTTCCCAATACGAACGTGTCAGATAAGACATTAAAATTTATGATTAAGTTGAAAGTAATTTCTTTTTAATTTTGAATTTGCGTTTGCTTTAAATAGACATAATAGACAAAACAGA